TCCCTCCCACCCCCGCCCCGCTCACTCATATCGTAGAAATGCTGCCAGAAGGCCTCCATCCAGCGCTGAGTCTCAGGCCGGTCCTCGGCCAGCAGTGTGTGGGTCACCTCCTCGCCCCCATAGCGGTTGGTGACCAGCATGCTCTGCAAGCGGTTCTTGGGGTCCCTCTCCGTGGCCCGGATGCGCGTCTCCTGCAGGGGCAGAGGAGTGGCCTGAGTGGTGGGGAAGACCCACTGCTGATGGGGCTTGCCGGCACTGCCGCCCTGGCTCTCCGTGGCTGGGAGCAGCAGCAGCATGCGCAGGCCATGCGCACCATCCCCTCCCTCCCCATGTAGGGTGCGCAGCGCCTGCTCCACTCCAAGCCAGGGGACTTCACACTGAGAGGGGGAACAATTTGCCTTTTTAAAAAACGTGACGAGTCTGGGCATGGCCAAATGTGCACTCTTACGTGTGTCCCCAGTCAAGAGCATGTGCATGTGGGGGTGCGCCACCTCTGAAAAGATAAGCGAAATGAGCTAAACAGGAGGACCATCACCAGACCCCTGAAGGATGAGGAGCCCGGTGGGGGGCGGGGGCGAGTCCTGCCCAGCACAGCAGAGGGGGCAGAAAGACCAAGAGCGTGGGGTGTGGGGGGAGCACCCGTCTCCCTGCTGCCTGCAGGGAAGATCAATCCAGCCGTGACCAGGGGTGCGAGCCCTTTGCCAAGAACCCAAGGCCTCCTGGGCAAAGGCCTCTGGCTACCCGCCCGGCAAATGAGGACCAGCCCAGGATGCGCCCCATCTCTTTGTTGCCTTGTTTCTTTATTATATTGGTTTGAACATTTTTGCAAGCCTCTTTGGCTTCCTGGGGAGAGACAGGGAGATGCTGCACCTTAAAAAGGATATTATAGCTTTGGAAAAAGTGCAGAAAAGGGCAACTCGAATGATAAAGGGGTTGGAACACTTTCCCTATGGGGGGGGTCAACAGTGGGAAGGCTTCTAGTGTCCTGACCCACTGCTGGACCTCCTGATGGCCCCTGGTATTTCTGGCCCCTGTGTGACACAGAGTGTGACTGGATGGGCCATTGGCCTGATCCAACATTGGCATCTCTTATGTTCTTATGTCTGGGGCAAGTGATGCTCTGTCTTCTTGGTGCGGGGGGGGGCAACAGTGGGAGGGCTTCTAGTGTCCTGGCCCCACTGCTGGACCTCCCGATGGCACCTGGTATTTCTGGCCACTGTGTGACACAGAGTGTTGGACTGGATGGGCCACTGGCCTGATCCAACGTTGGCATCTCTTATGTTCTTATGTCTGGGGCAAGGGATGCTCTGTGTTCTTGGTGCTTGGGGTGGGTGGGGGCAAGAGTGGGAGGGCTTCTAATGTCCTGGCCCCACTGCTGGACCTCCTGATGGCACCTGGTATTTCTGGCCACTGTGTGACAGACAGAGTGTTGGACTGGATGGGCCTTTGGCCTGATCCAACATTGGCATCTCTTATGTTCTTATGTTCTTAGGGGCCACAGAAACGCTGAAACGTCTCGGTTCCAACCACCGCCTGGTCAAATGACTGCAGTCACCCACCCGACACACACCTCTGAGGCTGCAACTCAGGGAGGCCGGAGGGAAGGACGCGGCCACCAGCCGGCACGGGGATGCCAAGCGGCAGCCCCTCTCTGTGAGGCTGGCGCGTCTGAGCATGCCCCAGACTAGCAGAGTGCCACGTGACCCACTCCAGTGTCCACAGCGGGCCTGGGGCATACTTGGCCTCCTTTGGCCACCAGGTCCTCGGAGAGCGTGCAGCAGCGAAGGGGGAGGCATGGGTGACCCCTGCCAGTGGTGAGCAAAAGGATCCGAACCCCCAGGGAAGGGGGAGGGAGACCAACTGTTTGCCTCCCACCCACAGCAAAGCCCTTTCTCTCCCAGCCCGCCTCCAGCCTCTCTGACTCGTTGGGCCAGGGGCAAGAGCCTCTGCTTGACATGCAGGAGGCCCCCGGTTCAATCCCCGGCAGCATCTCCAGTTAAAAAGGCCCAGGCAGCGGGTGAGGTGAAAGACCTCCGCCCGGGACTTGGGGGAGCCGCTGCCGGTCAGAGGGGGCCAGACTGCCCAGTGCAGGCCGAAGGGTCCGACTCAGCAGCAGCAGGCAGCCCCCCCCCGCCCACGCGCTCCTCCTCCACGTACCTTGCTGATGGCGATGGTGACAGCAGGCTCCACCTGGGTCTCGGCGTCTTGGGGGCGGTGGTAGCAGAGGAGGTGGGGGCCGCGCAGGACGCAGAAGAGTCGGAGGCAGCTCGACTGCTCTCCCTGCTGCAGAGATGGGCCGGGGGAGAGAGAGGCCGTTTGCCAGCGGCTCCTCCAAGCCCCCTGCCTCCCACCCCTCCCTCCCTCTGAGCAAGCGTTTCCCACTTTCCTCTCAGGAAGTGTCAGAACAGAAGCCACCCGTGGATGCCCACAACCCCAGCCACCAATGGAAGGTGTGTGGGAAAGGCTCACTTCAGGCAGCCCGGCCCCCACTGTGGCCCACCCACCCTACACATCGCTGGGCACAGCCCTGTCGCTCAGCTGCAGCAGTCCTCTGCCACAGCACGGTCTCGCCCGCAGCAGGAACAGCCCCGAGACCGGCAGGCTGCCCCGAGAATGCGGCCAGGAAACAAAGCCCGCTGGGAGGCGGAATCTGCCCCGCCCACCCCAAAGGGCTGTTCCCGCCCCAACTCTACCCACTTCCGAGGAGGGCCAGCAGCTTCGGCAGCTGACAGATCTGAGGCTGCAGCAGGCCTAAGGGAGCCGAGGGGCCTCTTATTCCCCCGTGGGGCTCCAGGGAGGGAGGGAGGGAGAGCTTCAGGCAGCCACAGAGATCTTCTCCCTTCCTCCCAGGTGCCAAGAGATCCCGGCTGATTCTGAGCCCGTGCCAGGAGCAGAACCAAGCTCTCCCCGCTGCAGAGGAAGAGACGGCAGGCTCCGAAGAGGACGTGTGCCACTGAGGAGCCACGTGAGTGGCCTTCCGGCTAACCCATCGGAGGGGGAGGATCCACCCTCCCGTTCCCTTCTCCTCTGCGTCAGGGCGACTCCCCTTCCAGCCCCTCCCCCTGTTTCACATCAGCTGACCAATGAATCCAAACGACAAGGGGGGGGGAAAGGACTGGTGTCACAGGAGTCCCCAAATATACAAATCCCACTAGTAGTAAACACCACCAAAGATTGCCAAAACAATATATTAAACAATTATAAAGTTGGTGGTGTCACAACAGCAACAT